TCCAGATGCTGCGGGGCCAGTGATCATTATCAGAGTCACTGTAGAGGAGCAGTACACTTTTCTACCTCCAGCCAGTCTCCAAGGCCCATGGGCCCATGCCCTTCTACACAGTTCCACAGCTGGAGCTTTCTCTGCGTTAGGGCCACTCCTAAGGGCTCCTGGGACTCAAATCCATTCCCCGGGCTTGAGTTTTTAGCAACTTCCTTTTACAGACTAGAAAAAGGAAGCTCAGGAGTATAAGGCTTACCTACCCAGTATGTGCGAGACCCTGGGTTCCATCGCCAGCACCACAGGAGAAATAGAAAAACCAGAGGTGGCTATGATATGGCTCCAGGATCTTCACTCTACCTGGATTAAAAGTGATGAGTTTAGCAATACTGCTGCCTGGCCCTTACATGCATCTTTCTTGGTCCTGAGTCATGTAGCCTACAGCCCAGGTTTCCAGTAGGCTCCCACGGGTGCTAGTTCTTTATTCCTATTCCAAATCCTTCTGGACTCATCCTCCCTCCCTGGCACAGGCGCAGTGCCCGCGTCATACCTGTAGGCGGGTCCCTTCTCATGCAATATGCATTCTCTGTCTTCCAACCATACTCTCTCCACAATGTCTACCCAGCAAAGACAGGCTCTTTAGCCTGCTGCTTGATGGATCTTTCCCCAGTACTCCTCCTTGGCTGATCTACAGTCTTGGGGAGATGTGTTGTGGTCTCATCAAAGTATTAGAAGCAGCTTCCTTAGAAAGGCCTTCCCAACAGGCCAACCCACACTCGTTGAATGGTCTGATTTTTCACAAAACTGGACACTGGAAGTTGTCAGACCAAGGTAATGAGCATTGATCAGGGGTGCCATGTTGGAGGCTGAAAGCTCCTCCAGCAGGAAGAGTCTGAGATCTCAGATTCGTCCAGTGTGACTCTCGGTGACTCCATTCAGGCTCTGTTTTTTTGCCTGTGGCTATCCAGGAACAGAGGGCCTTATAGGGCTGTCCCAGGGCAATAACTTCATGCAGGTTTATTGGATAAACTCACCACTCACCATTCACAGAGAAGAGCAGAGCCCAGTTCCCAGGAAAGATGATTTGCTACACCAAGACCTGAGCCTGCATCTGTCTGCCAGTATCCATGTTACAGATGTTGTCTCATTTGTGCGTGCTTAGGGAATATGGTACCACATCCACAAGGCTTCCCAGGAAATAGAACCAAAAGAGTGTATATATAAGACAGGCTCTTACAGAGTCCGGCTAGCGTTAGGCTATGGAGGCCAAGAAGCCCCACCATCTGCTGCCCGAAAGCTGCAGAGCCAGGGAAGCTGTGGTGCTGTTCAGCCTCAGGCTGAAGGCCTAAGAGCCAGAAGCAGTCTGTTCAAGGGCAGGACAACATGAATTTACAAGCTTAAGAAGAGAGAACATTTATTTGCTCTTCTTTTTTTCTCCTCAGCCCTCACAGGACTAGAGGATGCTCAACAGTATTGGGGGAGGCCATCTTTACTCACTGTACTCATCCAAACACCAATGTGCACTTGGAACACCTTCATGCTCCTAAATAATGTTTGCCCAGCAGTCTGTGCATCCATTATCCTTTTCAGGTTTACACATACAACTGGCCATAGATTTGTTGTAGGAAGTTCTAGACCACAATGTAGGTAAGTTCTGGACCAGGCTGTAGTTTTTCATTGTTGCATGAAATCTAAATGTATTAATAATAAAAACCTGGAGCCAGATATTGGGGTAAATGCTGAAAGATCAGAGAGACAAAGGAACAAGCCACTAGAGAAACTTCTCTACTGAGTCCTGAGGCTAAATGGAAGGAAGATCCTAACTCCATGAATCCTCTGACTGAAAGCCTATGAGTCTTCAGCTGAAAAAGTTTGAGTTCCTGTCTCCTCATGCCTTATATACTTTTCTCTACCCAGCCATATCACTTCCTTCCTAGTGCTGGGATTAAAGGCCTGTGTGCTTCCCAAATACTGGTAGCAAAGGCATGAGATCTCAAGTGCTGGGATTAAAGGCGTGTGATTCCCAAGTGCTGTGATTAAAGGTGTGTGCCACCACTGCCTGGCCTCTATGTTTAATCTGGTGGCTAGCTGTGTCCTCTCATCCTCAGGCAAGCTTTATTTGATACACAATATATCACCACATATTTCACATCTGTAAAAAATGGCTCTTGGGAGGCAGAGGCAAGAGGATTACAAGTTTGAGAACAGTATGGGCTACACTGTAAGGTGCTGTTTCAAAAAAAAAATCTAAATTAAATAATAAACAAAAGTGAGATGACCCTGCTTGGGGCTGGCCAGTGTGAAGCTTGTGCTGTCTAGTTGGGGGTGAGGATTTGCATGTTTGGAAAGACAGAAGGAAGGAAGAGAAGAAAGGGTGAGTGTTCCGTGAACTTCTTAGGGGATACCACATCTTAAGGCAGAGCACTGGTGTGTGTTCACACTCAAACCCTGATTGCCTCACAGCACCGCGGGCAATGCAGATGCCTCGTGTCTGTTTCCTGGGTCTTCGGAAAACATTCATTTTCAGTGAAAAGGGGAAGCAAGAAGGAAAATATCTAAGTCATCAATCTAAGGATAAAAATGATCAGGCTTTCATTACCTTAAGGACAGTCCTCATAGCAGAGACAACATTACTAAGAAGATTCCAGACTCCAGTTGGGAAGAGTCAAGGAGGTTGCAGAGGGGGGCTGAGAATGGAAGGAATACCACAGTGGTTCCAGCCTTACCAGCCCTCTCCCCTGCTGGGGGAACTGGCAGGGAGGGGCCATCTTGGCAGGATTTTCTTTAGAAGTTGGTTTGACATTTTTGTTTTCAAATCTGAGATATTTTTGGAGGGCTAAGCATGGGAGGAAAAAAAAACACATGATCTCTTTTGCTGATAATTGCTTTTTTTTAAAAAAAAAAAGATTTTGAAAATTCAAAGCCATGACACATGAAGCAGGAAGGCCCCATGGTGCTTAGCTCTGGATAGGCCGGGCTCAGGCTATGCATCCTGAGGTTCCTTTGTTCAATCTGTAGACAAGATGCAGGAACTAGGGAGCTGCCAGACAGCCTGGCAGCCTGACATGGAGTACTCAGGGATACCATAGTCCAGCTTCTCTTGACAATTTTTTTTTTAAGCACTAGTATTGAATGTAAGAATGGACATTACATGCACTGGCCCTCACTTCACTGTTCCAGAAACAAGGGTCTAGTTAGGGTATCCACCCTCCTCCTGGAACTACCCCAGCAGTGAGGGGCAGGGACAGGGGGCAGGGACTCTTCATCTTGGATAAGGGTAACAGAGTAGGAGAGCTTAGGAAACACTCCTGCCAGAGGGATGGAGAACCCCGGGCTTGCCTGGAGTCTTCCTCATTCTGCGCTATCACACACCCTTTCAGCACTAGTCCTTATCAGGAGTGGTCTTAACACCTTGTGGAGTTAATTCACGGAGTCCTTCAGGCAGCAGGGATCAGGCAAGGCAACCCAATGACTCACAGGAGGGATAGAGTGAGTATGCCGCTGGTAAAAGCCTGAGAGCCTAGCACAGAATCTGCATAGTCTGGGGTCCTAACCTCATAATGCTTTGATCCCTATCAGTTGGTTTACCTTTGTCAAGGTAAGTAGGATTTCGGGGTGTTTCCTTACCAGTTCAAAGGGCAAAGTAACAGTCCCTGCCTCACCCCCATGTGTGGCAGAATGAATGTGACCACTCCCCTATCCCCCTCTAAAGGCTCATTTCCAAGCACTCTGTGCCTCGTCCATGACCCCTTGGACTCCTAGAGGCAGGGAAATACCTGCTTCATTCCACAGGGCCGGTGGCTCAGTCTCCAGGAAGCTTTTGCCTCAGGGAACTAGTGACCAGATTCTTCTCCTCATGTTGCTGTTTCCCAGAGCTTCAGGGGTAGGCATAGCCTCCCCAAACCATGAAGGTCTTATACATCTTTGCCTGCGGGAGGGTAAACAGTGTGGCCCAGGCTCCAGATTCTCAATGAAGAAATGGTGTTTGGCAGGCTGGCTTTGGATCCAGGGCTTCAATGTTTCTGAAGGCTGCACTGAAAACAGAATTAATTACCAGGTGTAATTTCCCTGCTCTGCTTTTCCACCATTCCTGACATGCCTGGTTTTCCTTGAAGGCACAATAGGGCAAGAAGGACAGTTCTTGCTACCTTGGCATCAGGCAGTGCCCTTAGCTGGCCCAGGTAGGACTCTCAGAGAGTTGCTGTGCCAGGGAGATACAATTTTTGCCCTCTTTTGTAAGGCTACCCTAAGCATGTTCCCGGAACAGTACCAGAGATATCAAGAGCTACTTGTATCCACTTAAAACTGATGGAAATGCCTTTGTGAACTCCAGGGAGATGTAATGCATTTCTCATTCTGTATAAGTTTTAGAGATACTGTAAAATAGCATGTTGTCTCTTCCCTATAGTTCACAATGGGAAAACTGGGACAGAGGCCCAGCCATCTGAATCTTAGGGGATGGACAGGGACAGTCTGTTGGTGTGCCCTCATCTGAGAAAGGTTGTTCAGGGGATCTTCTTTCTTCTGTGTTTCTGGCTTGCCTCAACCTTGCTCTCTCCTGCTAGGTTTGCTTTAAAAGTCAAGCGACTTCTAGTCAGCCCCCGCCTCCGCCCTTGGGTGAATTTAGGACCTTGCAGGGGCTGTTGAAGCATTCCGAGCTGCCCTGTAAAGACTGCTGCTCTATGTACTCGCAGCCCCCGCTAGGTAATAAGCCACAGAAAGGTACTGTAGGTCTTTCTCCCGGCAGGCATAACACTTAGGCACACTGAATGAAAGAATAAACTGGTTTTGCAGGAATGGGACTCGAACCTCCCTCTCCAGGTGCACTTGGAACTGATGAGCCTTTAGAATACTGGAGCCCCCGAGGTGCTTAGGGAGGCCAGTGAGGTCGGAGGGTGTTTTAAGAGCTCATCCTGCTCTGGAACCCTGCGGGGGGATACAGCCCCTGGAAGCGCAGGACATTGTTAGGGTGATGAGACCAGGTGACCGGCAGGGACCCGGTGAGCGGGCGGTCCGTGGCGATTGCCCGAGCCGCCTCGAGGGGGCCCTGCGGCGGACGCGGGCCGCCAGCCAGGAGGACGGGCCCGCCCGCGAGCAGCTCGGAGCCCAGCCTCGCTTCGGCCATCGCCCCGCCGGACCGCGCTGCGGGTTCGCCCAGGTACCCGGGCCGGGAGCAGGGCAGGGGCGGCCACGCGCCGCCACACTCTTTGTTTGGGGCCCCGCTTGAGTTTCAGAGCCTGGGAGTGGGGGGGTCTTAGAGCTGGGACGCAGACAAGCAGGCACCAGATCTGGGCACGGAGACAGTTGAGGGTGCGGAGACAGGGCGCGGGGGGCACCCGGGAAAGGCATTCGGGACCCAGGACTCGGGATGGCCACGGGATCTGCGGCGATCCGGGGACTGGGGCTCAGCCAAGTCCCCGGGAAAGGACGCGGCGCGGGCCGGCTTGCCAGAGCTGAGCAGGGCTTGGGACGCGGCTGGGGCGCGGGCTGGTAGGGTCCGGGCCGCGGCGCCGGGCGCCGTGCTAGGCGGGCGGGGGCGGAGCAGCTCTATCACCACTTCGGCCCAGCGGACTTTGCTCCCTGAGACAGTTGGGGACGGGGCGACGGAGAGCCGCTTGGGGCTGCAAAGGGATATCTCAGGACTTGACTCCCGCCCTTTCCAGGCAAGTGCCCCGTGCGCCTCCTTTTGCTTTCCTTTCGCTTGCTTGGGAGGCAGGGGTCCCATCGCGCCTTTTCCCACTCATTGGAGTCCGGGTGCAGGCGCAGGCCTGGGGGCCACCTGTGGCACGTGCCTCCTGGCACGCGGGCGCTGTAGCTGACAAGTAAGAGGGAGGGTCCCGGGCCCCGGGCTCCGGGGTCTCTGTACAGTGCTGTATTCTGCCCCAGAGGACGTTCGTTTGAACTGACTTGAGAATCCATGCTGCGGGAAGAGACCCTGAACGCCTTCCTTCCCCTACTGGCATTCTGGCCGGTGCCAGCAGGTGATCCGGACTCTAGCGTGACTGAACACAAAAAGTTCCCTCTGGGGCGTGAGGCCGGCGGACCGAACTGACGAGGGTGATCATAACTGATTGGGACGCCCCGGGCTTTGTCACAGCCCACTCCAACTTTTGTTTTCTGAGGTGTACTTCCCGCCCCAAATGGAACTTTAAAGACACACTCCAAACTAGGAATACAGAAGTCACTGTCTTAATACTGTATAGCCCATCAGGGCTGACTCGTTTGACATTTTGGTACATTTCCTTGAGGCTTTCTTTGGTCTGTTCGTATTCATTCTTTTTTAAAAGTGTTTTTAGTTCTTTGCCTTTCAAATGAGATTCGAGTGTCCTTGTGAGTCTGGTGCCTCCCTCTTTGGGGCCTATGAGGTTATATTTGCAAATCAATCAACAAGTATTAAGAAAGGCTTTTCTGTGCTGAGACCTTGAGGGCCTAGAAAGGGGTGGGGTCGTCTGCAGCTGGAGGAGGCTAGGCCTGGAGTTGGAGTGAGGGTATTACATACAGAGTGTCTATATGTGTGTGTGTGGGGGGGGGGTGCTCAAGGAGGTGCATTTGCTGGGTCCTGGGGAACTAACTGGGGTAATTGGCAAGAAGCCATACCTCAGAGAAAGTCATGGTGACCCCCCCCCCCAGAGTGGTAGAAGGGTCATAAAGACTGAGGGCTGAAGTGTACTAAACTCTTTGCGTGAAAATTCACTTTATTTCACCTAAGTGACTCTTGGAAAAAAGACGGAAGTGGGATTATCACACCATTTTTGCACATGGGCAAAGAAATGCCAAGTGTCCTGCTCATGATGTTGAGGTGTGGTGGGGTGGCTGGGATTATGGGAGAGCATGCCTGGGCTCTATGCTCCCCCTCCTGCGGGTGGGCCGCCACTGCTCCTCTGTCAATTGGATTTGAACGCTTATTCAGAGAGCGCTTCCTCCGCTGAGGCCAGCTCCCCTGCCCAGGCTACTAAAGCTATTGGCGGCGGCAGCTGAGTTATTTCTCTACAAACCATAAGATATGAACCATAAGATACGAACTAAGAAGATAGAAAAGTGGTTGCTTCAGGGAGCCATGCTTCTGAATGCAAATTGATTAGCTTTTACAAAGTGTCTCTCTGGCCTGCTGTGCTTTGAAACTGAGTTACTTGCAAGTGTTGACTCCATAGCTGAAGTTCACAAGGTCAAACTATGTTACTATGCTACAGGAGGTGCTAAAGGAGTTGTTGCATGTGCCATAGCTATAACCTGGGAAGGAAGCCATGACACAAGAAGATGGAGTGGAAGGTACCAAAGGAGGCAGATATTTGAGCCTCTGTCTGGCAGTCATGGCTCCTGTCTGCCCAGGACACAAGAAGAGGAAAATTACAAGTAAATTTCAAAGGCCCTGGAGCTACTAGTGGTCTGTCTGCTGGTGACCTGTCCCTGGCTTTGCAGTTTCTTGCTTAGGATCAGTCTGCTGTAAGAGAAGGATACGTGCCAGGGAAGCCTGTGCTGACCTTGTGTTTGAACTTGGTCGTGGGGAGGGCTGGGTGCTACTAGCAAAAGCTCTTGGTTTTTCTCTTTGCAAACAGAATGCTCTTTATAGGACCATGCCACCTACCAGGTGGTCAGAGGCATTGCCCACTGAGTGCCTCAGCTTCATCCTTGCCAATGACTCTACACAGGGGCTCCAATAGACTGCTTACCATATATTTTCTTGTTTAGCGGCTGCGTGGAGTCTGGTGGGTTTGGATGGACATGTTGGGTCGAGGCAAAAGTTCTTTAAAACGTGCACTGACCCCGGCCCTCCTTCTTGTAGGACCTTGAAAAGCAACGGGGAACAGGTGGGTCTTCAGCTCACCTAGAAAGAAACCTGCTAACAGTGACCTAGTGACATAGAGTGAGCCTCATCTACTCAGAGTCCTCTGCTGCCATTTCTGCTTGTCTAGAATAAGGGGATCAGGTTAGGTGCTTTTAAGCGGGTATTTAGTTAACTGATAGCCAGCCACCCTTTGCTTCTCAGAGTGTAGAGAGTATTATCAGCCAAAGCGCAGTTACTTCTAACGCACATAGTGAAGCAGATATATCCCCATTGGAGTCTCCATGTGGAAGTAGTGCTTAAATTCCTTGCTGTGGGTGAGGAGAAGTATGAACTTCATTTCCAAACCCCCAAGGACAGAGTGTATCTTTTGGTGGAGCACTTGTGTAGCCTGTGAGAGCTTGGGTTCAATCACCAGGACTACAGTAGAAAGTAAACAAAGTACAAGACAAGATGCATGCATCCATTCTCTTAGAGTGAACGCAGGTTTGGGGTCCTATTTTGTCATATCTGCCCCTGTGTTCCATGCATGTATAGTTTGCTGAGTGCAGCTTGGGGACAGCGACACTGACTTTCTTGATTCCTGTTTCTTGTAAAAGTAGAAGGCACACATTCCCACGTTTCTTGGAACTTTCTTTTGAAGATTTTGCATCACAAGTGTTTTGGGCATGTTTGCTGTTGTGGTGAGGGACATGTGCTGAGCTCAGACTCCCCGGGGTGGTCCTCAGTGTCTGTGTCAGGTCTTCCTGCGGCACAAACTGTTGCATGGCTCACTGCGTTCTCAGAGGATGTCTAAGGCACCTATTTTGTTTATATTTATTTTTGAGGTGGGATCTTGCTGCATAGCTCAAGTGGCCTTGGGTTCTCGATGATTCTGCCGCCGTGGCCTCCCAAAGAGCTGGAATTACAGACATGGACTACCATTCCTGGTTCTGGTTCCTACGTTGTACCTGTCCCCAGCATAGCCGTATTTAGGGTTCCTCATGTGGTAGCACAGATGCCCAGTGGGGTCTGCCTAAATTTACCACACATAAAGAAGCCAGTGAAAAAAGAGGAATCAACGATTGGGGCCATCTTGCTTAGGAGATGAAAGATAGCACAAGCCAGTAGGCCCCAGGATTCGCCAGTGTGTCAGGAAGAGGGACATTGTTCTTTTTTTAACTTTTTACATTTATTTATTTGCATACTTACTTATTCTGTATGAGGGGTGTGTGTGTGTGTGTGTGTGTGTGTGTGTGTGAGCACAAGTGCGAGCGCATGAGCGTGTGCATACCCATATGTTTTGTGGCTTGTGTGGGAAGGCCAGTGGGCAGCTTGGTGAAGTCAGTTCTCCTCTTCCACCATGTGGGTTCCAGGGACTGATCTCAGGTCACCAGGCAAACACTCTTACCTGCTGAGCCATCTTGCCGGCCCAAAGTAGCAATTCTACATTTTGTTTGTTTGTTTGTTTGTTTTGTTTTTCGAGACAGGGTTTCTCTGTGTAGCTCTGCACCTTTCTGGAACTCGCTTTGGAGACCAGGCTGGTCTCGAACTCACAAGGATCCACCTGCCTCTGCTTCCCGAATGCTGGGATTAAAGGTGTGCACCACCACCGCCTGGCCAAAGTAGCAATTCTTGAAGATTATTATAATGATCTATAGATTCCTAAAAGATATATTGATCGTTTAAAAAGAGAGCAGTAAGCTACCTTCAATGTGTTTTGTCTCAAATGGGTAACTTTAGTGAAAGACTATGCTGAGTTAGCCAGTGATCTGGAAAAGTTTCCCCTGTGAAGTACCTATCCAGGATGGTTCAGGATCTTTAGAGGCATCAGCCAACAGATTTTGGACCTTTATCTCTGTATCCACCCCACTCTGGGGCATACCTCATCCCCCAGTGTTTGTGGCTTATGCTGGGTTCTCCCTCTGCCCACAGTCTGCTTTTCTATGCTGATTTCCTCCATTTTCTAGAAGAGACAGCAAGTGTTAGTGAGTGTAAGTAATCTGCCCACACCGTGGAATGGTATGTTCTCCAAGAGTCCAGTGTCTGCAGTTCTTGGTGTGCTGGCTCAGAGGAGGGACTTTCTCAGCCCCTGGAAGGGCTGCCTCACCCTGTTTGAATGGACCAGTCTGGCTCAGCTGCTCATGCCAGAACTCTGCTCCCAGCTGCTTCCTCGGACACCAAGGCCAGCTTTTCCTTACATCTTCTCTTCCTTCCTTTCAGCTCTAATTATGGCACATTAAGTTACTGGCTCTTCCTCTTCCTTTTCTCTTTGGAGAGAGATAATCACAGCCACACACCCATCCAGCCTGGCCTTGTTTCTGTTTCAAAGGTATTAGAAGATATCTTTGGAAATTCTGATCACAGCTGCCCAAGGAGGGTCCAGGAAGCTTTAA